TTACCTACCGAGCTTGACAAGTGTGAAAGATACTTTGGATCTACGATAACTTAAACTGACAAAGCAAAGTACCTTCATACCTCCTTGCGTTGCTGCGATCCTGGTAGCAAATTTGCAACAGGTTTGATGATTTTGTAAGAAGTTTTATGGTTGAGGTGCGATGTTCATCAATTGAAACTTATGCATCAGGATCGCAGCAGCAGTAAGAGGTCTGAGACACTTGGGTTTCCCGCCAACTTTGTAGCCGGAGCAAATATTTTTTATACCTCCTAGCGTTTCTGCTATCTTGATAACAAATTTTACCTATCGAGCTTGACAAGTGTGCAAGATACTTTGGATCTACGATATCTTAAACTGAAAATTCTGTATTAGGATCGCAGAAACAACAAGAGGTGAAAGACGGTTGTATTTCGCGCCATTTTGCAATAGGAGCAAAGTACCTTCATACCTCCTTGCGTTGCTGCGATCCTGGTAGCAAATTTGCAACAGGTTTGATGATTTTGTAAGAAGTTTTATGGTTGAGGTGCGATGTTCATCAATTGAAACTTATGTATCAGGATCGGAGCAACAGTAAGAGGTGTGAGATATTTGGGTTTCCCGCCAAATTTGTAGTTGGAGCAAATATTTTTCATACCTCCTAGCATATCTGCTATCTTGATAACATATTTTACCTACCGAGCTTGACAAGTGTGAAAGATACTTTGGATCTACGATAACTTAAACTGAAAATTCTGTATTAGGATCGCAGAAACAGCAAGAGGTGAAAGACGGTTGAATTTCGCGCCATTTTGCAATAGGAGCAAAGTACCTTCATACCTCCTTGCGTTTCTGCGATCCGCGTAACAAAGTTCTATGGTTGAAGTGCGCTATTCATCAATTGAAACTTATGCATCATGATCGCAGCAGCAGTAAGAGGTCTGAGATACTTGGGTTTCCCGCCAACTTTGTAGCCGGAGCAAATATTTTTTATACCTCCTAGCGTTTCTGCTATCTTGATAACAAATTTTACCTACCGAGCTTGACAAGTGTGCAAGATACTTTGGATCTGCGATATCTTAAACTGAAAATTCTGTATTAGGATCGCAGAAACAGCAAGAGGTCTAAGACGGTTGAATTTCGCGCCATATTGCAATAGGAGCAAAGTACCGTCATACCTCCTTGCATTTCTGCGACCCTGGTAGCAAATTTGCAACAGAACAGTTTGATGATTTTGCAAGAAGTTCTATGGTTGAAGTGCGCTGTTCATCAATTAAAACTTATGTATCAGGATCGGAGCAGCAGTAATAGGTGTGAGATACTTGGGTTGCCCGCCAACTTTGTAGTAGGAGCAAATATTTTTCATACCTCCTAGCGTTTCTGCTATCTTGATAACAAATTTTACCTACCGAGCTTGACAAGTGTGCAAGATACTTTGGATCTGCGATATCTTAAACTGAAAATTCTGTATTAGGATCGCAAAAGCAGCAAGAGGTGTAAGAAGTTTGAATTTCGCGCCATTTTGCAATAGGAGCAAAGTATCGTCATACCTCCTTGCGTTTCTGCGATCCTGGTAGTAAGTTGTAACAGAACAGTTTGATCATTTTGCAAGACGTTTTATGGTTGAGGTGCGATGTTCATCAATTGAAACTTATGTATCAGGATCGGAGCAGCAGTAATAGGTGTGAGATACTTGGGTTGCCCGCCAACTTTGTAGTAGGAGCAAATATTTTTCATACCTCCTAGCGTTTCTGCTATCTTGATAACAATTTTACCTACCGAGCTAGACAAGTGTGCAAGATACTTTGGATCTGCGATATCTTAAACTGAAAATTCTGTATTAGGATCGCAGAAACAGCAAGAGGTCTAAGACGGTTGAATTTCGCGCCATATTGCAATAGGAGCAAAGTACCGTCATACCTCCTTGCATTTCTGCGACCCTGGTAGCAAATTTGCAACAGAACAGTTTGATGATTTTGCAAGAAGTTCTATGGTTGAAGTGCGCTGTTCATCAATTAAAACTTATGTATCAGGATCGGAGCAGCAGTAATAGGTCTCACAGAGATACTTGGGTTGCCCGCCAACTTTGTAGTAGGAGCAAATATTTTCATACCTCCTAGCGTTTCTGCTATCTTGATAACAAATTTTACCTACCGAGCTTGACAAGTGTGCAAGATACTTTGGATCTGCGATATCTTAAACTGAAAATTCTGTATTAGGATCGCAGAAACAACAAGAGGTGAAAGACGGTTGTATTTCGCGCCATTTTGCAATAGGAGCAAAGTACCTTCATACCTCCTTGCGTTGCTGCGATCCTGGTAGCAAATTTGCAACAGGTTTGATGATTTTGTAAGAAGTTTTATGGTTGAGGTGCGATGTTCATCAATTGAAACTTATGTATCAGGATCGGAGCAACAGTAAGAGGTGTGAGATATTTGGGTTTCCCGCCAAATTTGTAGTTGGAGCAAATATTTTTCATACCTCCTAGCATATCTGCTATCTTGATAACATATTTTACCTACCGAGCTTGACAAGTGTGAAAGATACTTTGGATCTACGATAACTTAAACTGAAAATTCTGTATTAGGATCGCAGAAACAGCAAGAGGTGAAAGACGGTTGAATTTCGCGCCATTTTGCAATAGGAGCAAAGTACCTTCATACCTCCTTGCGTTTCTGCGATCCGCGTAACAAAGTTCTATGGTTGAAGTGCGCTATTCATCAATTGAAACTTATGCATCATGATCGCAGCAGCAGTAAGAGGTCTGAGATACTTGGGTTTCCCGCCAACTTTGTAGCCGGAGCAAATATTTTTTATACCTCCTAGCGTTTCTGCTATCTTGATAACAAATTTTACCTACCGAGCTTGACAAGTGTGCAAGATACTTTGGATCTGCGATATCTTAAACTGAAAATTCTGTATTAGGATCGCAGAAACAGCAAGAGGTCTAAGACGGTTGAATTTCGCGCCATATTGCAATAGGAGCAAAGTACCGTCATACCTCCTTGCATTTCTGCGACCCTGGTAGCAAATTTGCAACAGAACAGTTTGATGATTTTGCAAGAAGTTCTATGGTTGAAGTGCGCTGTTCATCAATTAAAACTTATGTATCAGGATCGGAGCAGCAGTAATAGGTGTGAGATACTTGGGTTGCCCGCCAACTTTGTAGTAGGAGCAAATATTTTCATACCTCCTAGCGTTTATGCTATCTTGATAACAAATTTTACCTACCGAGCTTAACAAGTGTGCAAGATACTTTGGATCTACGATAACTTAAACTGAAAATTTGTATTAGGATCGCAGAAACAGCAAGAGGTGTAAGAAGTTTTAATTTCGCGCCATTTTGCAATAGGAGCAAAGTACCGTCATACCTCCTTGCGTTTCTGCGATCCTGGTAGCAAATTTTTGTAAGAAGTTTTATGGTTGAGGTGCGATGTTCATCAATTGAAACTTATGTATCAGGATCGGAGCAACAGTAAGCGGTGTGAGATACTTGGGTTTCCCGCCAAATTTGTAGTAGGAGCAAATATTTTTCATACCTCCTAGCGTTTCTGCTATCTTGATAACAAATTTTACCTACCGAGCTTGACAAGTGTGCAAGATACTTTGGATCTACGATAACTTAAACTGAAAATTTTGTATTAGGATCGCAGAAACAGCAAGAGGTGTAAGAAGGTTGAATTTCGCGCCATTTTGCAATAGGAGCAAAGTACCGTCATACCTCCTTGCGTTTCTGCGATCCTGGTAGCAAATTTGAAACAGAACAGTTTGATGATTTTACAGGAAGTTTTATGGTTGAGGTGTTCATCAATTGAAACTTTTGTATCAGGATCGGAGCAGCAGTAAGAGGTGTAAGATACTTAGGTTTCCTGCAAACTTTGTAGTAGGAACAAACATTTTTCATACCTCCTAGCGTTTATGCTATCTTGATAACAAATTTTACCTACCGAGCTTGACAAGTGTGCAAGATACTTTGGATCTACGATAACTTAAACTGAAAGTTTTGTATTAGGATCGCAGAAACAGCAAGAGGTGTAAGAAGTTTTAATTTCGCGCTATTTTGCAATAGGAGCAAAGTAACCGTCATACCTCCTTGCATTTCTGCGTTCCTGGTAGCAAATTTGCAACAGAACAGTTTGATGATTTTGTAAGAAGTTTATGGTTCAGGTGCGATGTTCATCAATTGAAACTTATGTATCAGGATCGGAGCAACAGTAGAGGTGGAGATACTTGGGTTTCCCGCCAAATTTGTAGTAGGAGCAAATATTTTTCATACCTCCTAGCGTTTCTGCTATCTTGATAACAAATTTTACTACCGAGCTTGGACAAGTGTGCAAGATACTTGGATCTACGATAACTTAAACTGAAAATTTTGTATTAGGATCGCAGAAACAGCAAGATGTGTAAGAAGTTTGAATTTTTGCGCCATTTTGCAATAAGAGCAACGTACCGTCATACCTCGTTGCGTTTCTGCGATCCTTGAGCAAATATTACTCGAATTTGATAATTTGCAAAAAATTGTTTCGCTGTTGAAAATCCAGTACGAGGTTCACAGAAACTTCCTCATTCAACCTCGCGTATCTGCGATCCTGGTAGCAAACTTTACTATTCTGCAGTAAGGTCAGATGAGCAATGTCCATGCTGAACAATTTTAAAGAAACATCCAGGTCACAGAAACAGCAAGAGGTAGTTGTGCGGGAAGTTTGAATTTATGGCAGGGAAAACTACGTAAAAAAGCGTGAAGTGTAAATAATTTATTGTCGAATTATCTGTATATCTACATAAAACATGATAGGTGTCTTTCGGAAAACTTTTGTACAGTACGATCTTAAGATTTTTCTTATAAAAATTACATAACTACAGAAAATAATAATAATAACACTCGCTTAAAGTACGCTTTTTCGAACATCAGTCTCTCACTTCTTCGCCAGTTCCTTCATACGGTTAAGAGCACTTCCGGCCTTGAACCACTCGATTGAGACTCGTTCAAAGTGTGGTTGAGAAGAATCTTATCTACTGACCCATCAGCGTGTTTGATCTCGCACTCGACAGGTTTGCCAGGGTGCCAGACTTTTCAGATTCTTCAAACTGATCTTGTCAGTAGGCTGGATCTTGTCGTAGTCAGCAGGATTGGCAAAGGTGAGAGGCAGCAAACCTTGCTTCTTCAGGTTGGTCTCGTGGATACGAGCGAAGACTTGGTTGATGATCGCTCTGCCTCCCAAGTGACGTGGTTCCAAAGCGGCGTGCTCTCTTGAGCTACCTTCTCCGTAGTTCTCTTCTCCAACGGCCACCCATCTGATACCTTTGGATTTATAGTAACGGGCTACCTCAGGGACGGTGCCATATTCGCCGGTCAGTTGGTTCTTTACTTTGTTCAATTCGCCGTTTCTCTGCATTCGTTGCACTGAAAAGAAACAAGCATGAAGATTTTTTTGTATTGCACCCGCCGTGAACGCAGAGCATAAATACCTAAGCACCGCCACTACTAAATGGTGTTTCAGGTAGGTATCTTTGGATTTCGTTTTTAAATAGACCCAACAATTTTGAAATATATACTAAGTGACATATAAATCCGAAACACCCAGTTTAAATGGTTTTATTTTTTATAAAATTTTGTATCAGTACTTAATGAAGCATAAAAGTAAATGATAAAAATTTCAAATGATTGCACTGCTTTAAAGCCCTTTGACCTTTAATAATGTGTGGATGCACCCTGATGTGCTACGCATTCTCCAACGCGCCTAGGCATGCTTCTGATCAGGTGGTCAATGTCCTCCTGTGGTATTTCATTCCAGGCAACCACCAACTCCTCTCGAAGTGCTTCTAGAGTTTGAGGAGGCGTTGCAAATTGAGCAATCTCCTACCCATCATATCCCACACGTGTCAATTGGGGATAAGTCGGGAGATCTTGGTGGTCCATGGTAACAATGTGACATCATTATGTTGAAAGAACTCTATTGTGACTCTTGCAACATGTGGTCGGGCATTATCTTGTTGGAAAGTTGGATCTGCCAGGGTGTCAACATAGGGTAAAAGATGGGGTTCTAGAACTTCGTGGATATAACGCTGCGCGTTCATGTTACCTCTGATGAAGATTAAAGGTGACCTGGAACCATAAGCTATAGCACCCCAAACCATAACTCCAACAGTGTGATGAACATGTCTTTCAACAAAAAACTGTGGATTCCTCCTTTCTCCACGTCGCCTTCTAACCCAGGCACGACCATCGTGCATGCCTAAACAAAATCGAGACTCGTCACTAAAGACAATAGTGTTCCATTCCTGATCCCAGAGTGACCGTTGTCTGCACCACTCAAGGCGATTACGTCGGTGTTCTCGAGTTAAAGGGAGGACCCAGTGTGGCCGGTATGAAAACAAGCCAAAATTTCTCATTCGTCGGTAAACACTTCGCATGCCAATAGGTCTTCCGTGTTCTGCAAACCATTCATTTGCAATGGACCTTAGTGGAGGAGAAACAGTCCCTCAAGGCCAAAATCTT